CTTGTTTTCGTTCCATGAAGAGCTGAGGTTTTCTTCCTTTCGCTCAAAATGTGAATTGTAAAATAGCGATTTATGCCTGCGACATGGCTGTTGGTATATCCAGATGGAGGATTCTTTTAATCGATAATTGACGCGTACGAATATGGAGAATGCGTAGCTGCAAAATGCGATTAAACTGTGTTCTCTAAGAGGTGTAAAATCTGAGAAGTAGGCTATTTTAAAGCATTATTCTGTTCACTTTCAAAGATTGACCTCCTTTTTTTTTTAAGTGTCACCCTCGTACCACGATTGCGAGAATAAATTTAAGGAGGCCGAATCCGCACGATGGGGTATGAAGAAATGTGCAGCAAAGTGCTTCTTAAGGTGAATATTTGCAAATTCTATACACCATTTTTTATTATGATATAAGGATGTGCATAGTTTGAGTATTTCTCTTTCAAAACATCATACAGATTACATAATCATTCACGCGTAAATGCGTTGAGCGTTCCCTGGTTTGTTGTTCTCTGAAGTACTATACTGCGCGTAATGTACATGAAATTGGAAAAGAAAGACCATGGGTTTACATAGGTTTTCCACGCGAATTATATGCATATACACGGCAGTATAAGGACATATGAAGTACGCGCGATTTTCCCTCTCACAATGTGGACATCCCGGCGCCAGTGAATCATCGCACACTCGGTTCAATGCCAAGTTATACGGAAAGAAAATATTTCATTCTAACAGCTCACCAGTTGTGTATGATTTCGATAGAGCTCAGTTTAAAATGGCACTGAGCATGAGAAATTCCTTTAATATTTCTCTTTCTCAATACACTAAGATGTACTTCACGAAATATATTTGTAGAAAATCCTTCCCATTTTAAAATTAAGTTATTTCCATGAAATGTCTTGCAGAATTTTCGGCATATTATGGATGAACACTAAAGAAGGGAAGTCCATAATTTGCCATACACATGGTGTGCGAAGCTGAAAAATATGCTCTGAACAATTTTCAGATGTTTTGCGAGTGAAGGCGTTCGCGATCTTTCCGTATGTTCACAGAAATTTTATTCTTTGAAAATTCTCTTCGCTCATTGTAAACATTGGTCAAGACAATGTTGCTGAACGGTTGTACTTCTGTTAATGTACAATTAGAAATGTACCCTTCTTTTTTACCTGACGTAATTAAAAATGGAAGATGAACAGGAAAATAACAATTGAGAGGACAGTTCATGCAACACGCTGGAACTCATGCTTAGAGCACATTAGGTATCGTGACAGCAATAGATCTTTTCCTTCTTCCTGCGGCCTATTCCGGTATTCCCATATGAGCGACGTGTCTAAGTGTGTACGTACACATATATACGCCTATGTTCGTATGCATCACGGCCTGTGTCTATGTACCTATCTGTTAACGCATGATAAGAGGTGGAGTAATAGCCCGAAGATGCAAATGTATCAGGCTTGGATGATACACGTGAGAGAGGAATGTCAACTTTTTTAGCAAAAGGAAGCCGTAAAGAAATGAAAAAATGAAAAGTGTACGCTATTCTAAATCATAAGCAATTGAATTTCCTTCTGAGCATTGTTAGTTGTTCGGGATGCTCCCCAAATGAGTTCAGGGCACCCTTAAATTATTTCAAAAAATGGTATATTCGCAAAACAAAGGTAATCCTGTACACATAATTCCGATTGTTATAACACAAACAGGTGCCCAATGGTGTGAACAATTTACACATATGAGAGGGTAGGAAGTTTTAAACTTCATAATCTGTATATTGAGAGGGAGCATATAATTTGTGCAAGAAAGATATTTGTAAGAAATAAAGTAATAACCGTGAAGAAACACGCATATACGTATTTGTGTTAAAGATTTGACCAGATTTTACACTCCCGTAAAAATTAAAAGAGTGAAGAAAATAAAAATATGTGTCGCTTCACATTTATTCATTTTCCACGAACAAAATGAGAATATTTTTACTCTTCAGAGAGCCGGAAATGAGGAACATCATCTCACATCCGCACATCATTCACAAGGAAATAAATAAACCCGGTTAAACAGATTGGTTAAGAGATGCTAAGGTCCTTCTTATGATAATGCACACATGCGGTTAGATAAATC